GAAGAAGAAGAAGTAGTATTTATTTTTTTTTTTTAGACTTTAGAAACTCAGAAGCTGATCAAATATCGGGTTAAATATCGGTGTGGTGGCCGATCTCCGATATTCAGTTTTAAGGCTGATGCCGATAGGGGGCCGATTATATTGTGCATCCCTAGTTTTGCCCTTTGAAATGTAAAAGATGCTGATCAAAGACTACCGTTTTATCTTTTCATTCAGTCCATGCTTGCCATCTGCAATATCACAGACTTCTTTTTTTTTTTTTTTTCAATAAATATTCTTGCAGGAACAGAAAGAATCTTATTTTTCTGCGAGTACCTGAGACCATGCCTTTTAACAGTTTCCCTTCTAGTAAATCTGAATGTAGAGTCAGAAACTAGAGACTATGCTCTTTAAAAAGAGCCCAGAACTTCTTGTGTAACCCAAAGGGCTCCAAAAAAAGCACAGATTTCAATTAGCAGAGGTCTATGTTATGGCTCAGAAAGTTAAATGGTTAAAATTAGGCTGTTAGTTCAATTTCTGTATCTGTGTCCTCAGGAATATTGTCTTCATTTATTGATTTGTTGAAGTTATTCTTCCTGTTATACTTCCTCCTGTTTTTAATCCTGTTAAGTTGACGTGTCATATTTTACAATTATGCAAACAGAAGGACAGAAGCGCCGGGTGGCCGCAGAGACGCTGTGATACAAACGCTGAACAGTCTGTGGGTCAGAGGCTGCAGCTGTCTGCTGGGGGGCCCAGCAGGCTGCAGGTAGAGCCTGATACCGAAGACACCCTGGACTCGGCGCTGTCAGACAGCAGCACTTACTATTCGGACCAACAGCAGGGGAGATTCATCAAGAGAAAGGTTTTAAGGTGGGTTCACAAAATAGAACTATAACAACCACAGTGGGGAGTAGCGGGCTAGTGGTTAGGGCATAGAGCTTGGAATCCTGAGCTCAAGCCCCATTTCCATAGACTGCCACTCTGGCTCTCTGATTAAAGACCCTTAACCTCATATTGCTCCCCTGGTGCCGCACGATGGCAGCCCTCTGCTCCCCAAGGGGATGGGTTAAAGGCAGAGGTACATTTCTCCAATTCAATACAATTATTATTATTATAGAAGTTGTTACTGCTTAGATCTGAGAGGAGGATGGAGCAGATGAGGTCACTCTGAGGGAATAAATGATCTTCATTTATAATGTTTGTATGTAGATACTAGGGGTGAGTATTGGCATGGGTGTTGCGATGCGATGCTTGTCACGATACTCGGGTCACGATACGATATTATCACTTTATTGCATTATAACCATATATTGAGATTTTTTTCCTGCTATCAAAATTAAATGCACAGATAAAAAAGCAATCTCTGTATATGTTCATCAGATGATATTGATGGTTGAGTTATTTTGGTATCCGTGTTGTCTGGGGTTTAAGTGAGTCCATGTCTTCCACTGTGAATGCCTCAACTCTAAATAATATGCTGCACCGCACAGCAAAAGGGCGCCACAGCGCCATCTGCCAGAGTGGTGGTACAAAGGTAGCCCATTTTCCCTCAGTTTTGGCGATACATTGCCAAAATGATTTTTTTCCACACCCCTAGTAGATAACACCTTGAATTTTGTCGTGATTTTACAGAAACTTTTTTTTTTGCATTTCTTATTTAGGAAGCGAAAAGGAAAATCTCTCATCTGTGACGAGTCGGTGTACACAGAAGATTCAGGTAATGTGGAGCACCACAAATTATATACATACAATAAACCTAAATATGTTTTCTACAATATGCTGAATAGAAGAAAAAAATATTTTTTTACAAATTTATTCTGCCAACTGTATTAAATACTAGCCTGACGTAGTCCTACTCAATTCTAGTCAGAATATGAGTCTGATACTGCTACATAGAGCTGTGATTATGATATATCGAACCAAACCGAAAACCGTGACCACGAAACCGTGAACCGAACCGTTCCACCCCTAATATGTACAGGCCATTTACCATTTACTGCAAGCAGCAAAAGCAGCTAGTTTACATGCAAAGTCAATGGTTGACGCGCATCAATGCGCAGCAAAGCATCCCACAGTGTGTTTTGAGCAGCTGAAGCAGCGCGCATGATCTTCTGATGCGCTTCAGAAGCAGCAGCTGCTGGAGTTGGAAAAATTTTACTGTTGCTGCATGAAGCGCCACATTAACCAATCAGAGAAGCACTGTGATCACTCCTCTGAAATAGTTTATTAACGCCTAAATTTACTTAAAAGATCGAAACCTGCTGGCAAAATATTTTTGCTTTTATTATTCTGGCGCCTGTTTGGATTACGTACAAGAAAAACTTCTTCCAGCCGCCCTGAAAGAGGCGACCGGACCCGAGGCTGCTGTTGAACAGGATTCCTAGTGACAGAGGACCGCTGGTATGGGGGTCTGAGCGGCTCTGACAGCAAGATAATATTTGAAGACAGGATCGTAATCTTGATGAACTGACTGCACTCACAATTTTTTCATTTGGACTTTCTCGCTTCAAAACAGATTCAAACTATTTTTTACCCACTGATCACCGCAAATATAGCTGCCATTGTTACAGGCAAAGAAAGGAAAGGGTAGCTCCGCCCAACGCCCATCAGACCACCTTTTCCACCGCGCAGCCAGAGCAGCAAAGATGCTTCAGCCGCGAATCAGAAATGAACTACAAGCATAAAAAATGAAGCAGCACGCGTGTTTTTGCTGTGAGTTTCTGCTTGACATGAAACTTCATTTGTTTCGTCCAGTTTTCATTTTTGTTCATTAAAACCTTTAAAAACTTTAAACACAACAAAAATGACCAAAGGGAGGGACAGAGCAGCCTACCTTGATGTGTTAACTGGTCAGATTTGGATTTGAATAGAATATTTTTTATTTTCCTTATTTAAAAAAGTTTTATTTCTGGATTTTAATTTATAAAAAAATTTATTTTTTCTAACTTTCCATTTCCATTTAATCATCCGGTTTGCCTTCAACAAATGGAAGACCAAAGACCAAATGTTTTAACATTTAGGTATTGAAATCATCTGTTTGCCTTAAAAGGATAGTTCGGTATTTTTGACATGAATCTGTATGACATCCCCATCACCAGCGGCATGCAATCACACTGACTTACCCCTGGCAGCGTCCTGTGAGCAGAGTTATCGTCCAGTTTTGGTCAAGCCAAAAGTAGTCCGGCAGGTTTGCTAGA